TGAAGGACTGGTAGTAGAATTTTCCCACAATGATATGAATAGAGCTGACGTTTCCATTGAATTTCACATTATCTTAAACGAAATAGGGTGAATACATCTCATATTACTGATTTACTGGTAGTCTCGAAACACTATTCAAACAGGAATAATGAGAATATAATTGCTTGAAATATTTGAATAAAAGCTGGATACCAAAGAATCCTTTAATGATTTAGTATAACTCGACTTTTCCTGTCGAATGCAAACTTGGTTGGAAGGGATTAACTGATTGACTTCACTGGAAACTGAAGGAGGATTGCCCTGGAGTGAAGAATGTTTGATTATGCAAAGAAGTCCTTGGATTACCGACTAACCCGTGCTGAACTTTCATCTGTCCCGCCATGACAGACATCAACACTGTGAGAAAGCATAGCTTGCGAGTACCATTGTAATGTACTAAAACTTCGCTCTATTTAGTTGGTATGCTTGCGGTTTTCGTAAACTATTGTGACATGACTTTCCATCTCGAAGGAAATTTTTTTTGGGAGCAATTCGTGATGTGGTTGCACCGGAAGCCGATAAATCCTCGGCTCACTTTCGCAAGATACGACAGTCTACCCTACACAGCAATCCTCCTTCGGTTCCCGGTGAGACCAAATCATGAATTTCTTTCAAACAACTTTCCCTTCGAAATGAAAAGTCACATCATAATATATTACTAAGGACTTCTTCGAAATTCGGTTTTTCTTGATATCTTCGTAACCTATGCTTTCTCGCTCTGATGGTCTTCAAGCCGATTCATCGGACTCGCAGAACGGCGAGCTGAGGACATCTTTGCATAATTCAACAACTTTCACTCCAAAGCAATCCTCCTTCCCCACCAACTTTTCTCTCGGAATGAAACAAAGAGTCACAATCTACTTATAAGTTGGTCATTAGAAGAAGAATTCTCACATTTATCAATTATAAAATCTTTAGAACTTCCTTGCAGCAGCTGAAAGCGTTCCATTTTATCGTGCATTCTGCCCAATAATTTGTAATCGTAATTCTCATGATTTACTATTTGGACAATAAGTTTTCAAATGGAAACTAAAAAAGTTGGGCTTAAACTATGGTCAGTTTTATATTTTGGTCAGTCTACTTCCACCATTTTAGTAGTGATGTCTTGTGAAACAGAAAATACATTGTTTAAATGCATGCAGGGATGCTATGACTTCAAGTCACGCATAACCACATGAATAGTCTTACGTTCTGCTTCAATATATTGCATTTTGACAAGCAGTTTTGTAAGTCTCTCATTAATGAATTACAACAGCAAATATCACAAGAAAATGTGTGTTCCGAAGAATCTCTTGTGATAAGATTGGTGTGTAGACTTTAATTTCGTATGGAAGTACATGATGAAGAGATTCGTAGGTCAATCTCACCAGATTTATCACATGACGAGCGAAAGCTGAGCCCGTCGTCCCCCGAAACGTTGGAGCATGTCTCGTGGACTGCGTCAACCTGAACGTCGTATTAAAGCCAAACGGCTGCAGTACGACGTGAATCAGTCGATGTCTTCTGGTGAGATAAACCTACGAATCTCTTTGCACTTCTATACGAAATGAAGGTCTTCTCAACAATGGTGCTCTGAAAATAAAAGATATCTGAATGTATTTATAATTAAATTTTTTTTTACATTTATATATTATAATATAATTCCGTATGGAAAATGTAATGTGCTTAGCCTCACTCTCTGCTGACCACTACTTGTGCCTTCATATCTCTTGACCCAACCCATTTTTGCAAATAATCTTGATCTGCATTTTAACACTGCCACTGAGTGAACGGCATGCATGAATGCTATCTACTACCCAAATCATAGCAGATATAATAGGATTTGGCTTTTTATAATGTTGATTTTTTTTAATTAATCGAAACCGCACTAAACGATATCCTCTTCTGTCAAATGTGCAGACAAACGACAGTGATTTCGGTGACTGATCTAGCCTCACCAAATCCGCTGGTCTCAGACTCGACATTTTCATGCCAAGACTTCATCCATATTCAACGGTCTCTTTCCTTTTTACTCTTTATCAGCATCCGCCCGCATTAGAGCTATCATGTCGGCAGAAGCCGACTCGTGATCAACCAGGTTGGAATAAGGTCGCCTTCAAATGCAGTACTACCGCATATTGACAGTATTCCTGCTCCAAACAGGCAACATCTTGTGCCAAATGACTGTCTCTTGTCTGGCCATTTGGTTGTTCCTCCCAAGGGCTCAACGCTTGCGACGGTTACACATGATCAGAGCAGGTCGGAGAGTTGTCATCTTGCCAGCTTTCCTATTTCTGTGCACTTCTCTATATGCAGACGGGTGGGTTACCAGACAAACACACAAGCCCACAATGGAGACACAACTCTGACTGTTGAAGCATGTGAGCCAGCATACAACCATTGCGGACTTGTGCTTTGCATTGTCAACTTTTGCTACATCGACAATTGCTTCGAGGGAGCCGAGCGCTGGGTTGGGCTTGTAGGTTGAAGAGGATGGACGATTGAGTGATTTATTAATTGAATGAATGAGTACATTATGAATACGCTAAATACCTTTTAGGGTCAGGCATTGCTGGCAAACAGAGACCGGATATCCGGTATTATTTACAGTTTATTGTATCCGCAGATAACCAAATAAAGAAAATGTTGTAAACTGCTCACCCTCCCTTTTAGTTCCAACTTTTGGTTGGGATCTGTTTCCAGCTTAGTTGTAAGTCATAGGGAGAGTATTGACTATGTGATATGGAAAACTTTTTCACAGCAAAGAAAATAACAAAAAGAAACTTTACTATATTTACATTAGCACTCAGTTATGGTCGTCCCCCTTCAAGCTTCACTATTGTCTCGTATAAGAATAAGACAATTCTCCAAATGCTAGCAAAACTGCTTCGTCTCAGGCTCAATTCGGAATTACGTTTTTCTGTAAGGTTAGGCTTCTAAAGTACGCGTGCTGACATTTCCTTAAAGAAGCCTCAGGCAAGCTTGCTAATAAAAACGGGATAAAACGCAAGTTTTGGGCATCAAAAGTATAGTAGAAATCTCTATTTAGGTTGCCATCAAGGGTGATTTATTTCACCAAGAACGAGCTGTAATCTTTGCTAAATTATGGCACCTATAACTCATAGCCGCATACGGCTAAAGGAGTTGTATTTCGAGGAGTCTCTTGGTTTAAAATTGTTTAATACACTTCCATTTCGGTTGATAGTGTCTGATGAGGAGATACGGAGGTCAATCGCATCGAAGAAAGATTACGGATATCTTTTCTTCTCAAATCGTTAGCACAAATATGGTTGTAGGAAGGAGATATGCGTCTAACGGTGTCACTCAGATATATGAGGAAAAGCGGGTTTTCACAGAAGCCCTTAATCAGTTAATGTGAGTCAGCTCTTCGTCCTGTGAGTTTGATTAATCTGTGCTGAGCGTTCGTCTGTAATATGAAATGTATAAGTTGTTGGCTTGTAAGAAGTTAAACGAAAATAATTAATGTAAGTAATGCTTCGTCATCTTCAACTGATTAGATCAAACTTCAAAGCTCTTCTCGCACATTTCCTACTGAAATGTAAGTGAGCCCAACAATCATCTAAAGGAGAAAAGTGTTGGCTACAACTTTTCCTTTTATCCGGTGTCTGTAAAATTATGGGTACTCCACCAGCACGAGGTTAAAAGCTTCAAAAGACGTTGCATCTATCATTCATGTAGTAACTTTTGGTATGAAGTCTTTGGTTTTACCTATGGCTAGCCAGGCATTTTTTCGTAATATAATACTGAGATAAACATGCACATGAAGATTTTTGTCAGGAATATTCAACCTTGGAGTATGAGATGAAC